TTGGACTAGTTTAAGTGTTTATGTAGTATGTTGGACTAGTTTAAGTGTTTATGTAGTTAATAAAGTCTTACTTGTATCACACTTGACGTTGTTCATTGTTTGCTCATAACTGGAGTCACTTAATCATGCAGATTTATGCTACAAGCTCTGTGTAGAATTGTACAGTAAGAAAGTTATTTCCCTTAACCAGGAAATTAACATTCTTAGAATTGACAGACAGTTGACCCTGAGAGGTCAGGTAAATATCTACAGCGGATCTAAATATTTATAATTAATTATAACTAGTTATGATTAATTATTCATATTTCCCCATGAGCTGATTTGTTACAAAAGTCACCACTCCCGAATGAGTTCGTGCAAGAGAACGTAATCTTTTAGTTTAAACAATGAGTGACATATACGCGCGAGAGATCACTTCCGGCGCTTGCGTAAACCACACCAGAGCGCGTACACACCTCACACACCGGATGCCGTGCGCGCGCTCAAGGCAGTTGGACATAGTGCTGTATTAGAGGTAAAAAATGATATAAATACTGTTCGGTTTCTCGCACAAACCGATCGTTTCGTGTCTTAGGACATCAATGTGTCGTCACGAGCCGCAGGGTTTAATTTGGATTTGTCTGTGCATGTTTTTTTTACTCTCATAGATTTTGTTACTATTCCCGTGCATTATACGACTGATAGACTGCAACGGCTGGACTTAAAAATCATAATTTGTGTTCTACTGAAGAAACAAAGTCACCTACATTTTGGATGCCCTGGGGGTAAGCAGATAAACATCAAATTTTCATTTTTGGGTGAACTATCCCTTTAAAAGGAACCTCACTTATATACTTGCATGGGTTTGGAGCATCGCAAGGGCGATTAAATTATGACAGAATTTTTCATTTTGGGTGAACTATTGCTTTAGAGCTTAAAACTGGTAACTGGAAGGTTGCTGGTTCAGTCCCTGCAAGGAGCAAACCTCAAAGCCATCATTATTTTGCCTTTTGAGAAAGGCATTTAACCCCAGGGGCTGAGTGTCTAATAAGTGTGCTGTATGTCACTTTGGATAATCATCTGCTTAATGTCTACTTACTAATGCAAGCATGTGTGTTCTGCTCTGTGTCTGCTCTTGATCTTCAGGCGGAGTCGGAGGGATTCTCCCATTTTCACCTCTACGTGTGCTCTGCCTTCCTCATCAAATGGCGCAAAGAGATCCTCTCCATGGTGGACTTTCAGGTACCGACAACCTCCCGCATGTTTCTGTGTGTCACGGCCGCTGGGCTCCGTGAAGAAGCGTGTGTCGTTTACATGCGACCGTCTGCGCTTCCCACACATGCATGCATCACTGGAAAGCGTCCCGGCCGTCACTTACCCCGAGACTATCGGAGTAATTGGCCCTCCAGTGGAGCAGCCTCTGCTGTAACCGAATTTCACAGGCCAGCGGATTCACCACACCTCAGCGCCCACGAAACGAGAGCGTTCTGTTACTCACCCCCCATTCTCGCTATTCCGCGCTCTCTTTCAAAGGATCTCCACACCTCAGCTCCATCTCTGATTCTCTCGTTTATTATTTGCCTCATTGTCAGGTTGGGTAGAGAAGGGTTAGATGAACAGCTATTTGAGCATGTGTTTATACTTGGGCTGTCAGTGGGTTAAAATAATCACATTTAATCATTTATGGACTGATGATCATGTTCACATGAACACTTTTTCGAAATGTGCTTTTATTTGATTTAAAAAACTATATAATAATAATAATAACAACAACAATAATACCTTATCTTTTTTTAGGAAAAATATTTTCGCCATATTTTAAGAATTTTCACATGATCACAGATTTTCTTTTTTCTTTTAAATAATAAAAATATTTAATAATAATATACTATAAATTTGTTATTATTATTAAGATAATTTTAAGAATAATTTTTAAATATTAAATATTTGATATTATCATATTTAAATGTTATATTGTTTTTGAATTTTCAACAACCTAAAGCTTTTTAGGATATTTTTAGTTTCGTATTTAAATTAGATTTTGCATCCCACATTTCAATGTCGTCTTAGTTTTTTGGACCCCACTCTTACGTATTTTTTTCGCTGTCAAAATCCAGTCGGTTTCTCACCAAACATCAGACATTTTGTTGATGTTGCTACAGTCTACTGGTGTTTTAACCGTACAAAAGATAGCATGTTGACTGAGTTTCATTTGTAGGTGATAAATCACACTTGTTGAGCTTTGATAGTAATTAATTTACAGCAAATGTCCCATCTGGATTTGATTTATAAATAAATTAGCCACTACTGATGTGTTTCTCCATTATTTACTGATAAATGAGCTTCTGTTTGCAGGATTGCTGTTCCTGAGAATTGAACAAAGATGCCTGTGCTTTTGACAATTCAGACTATAAATCAATCAAAACAAAGCTATTGTGATGTAGAATTAGGTTAATGCCATAATGGTTTAAAGTAAATTTAACAGTGTTGAACATCTTTAATTAGTCGGTTTATATTCTTGCACACACATGTGATGTAATGCCAGACTATTCGGTCGATATATATATATATATATAGGCTGTTATGATGAGCACCATTTTTTAACCCAAAGCTCAAAGGCGCTCTGGTTAGCAACTTGAAAATCAATGATTTTCAGCTTCATGCTACTGCACTAAAACTCGGGCCAAAGAACCCGAGATCTGATCTTACACAGAGTGAAGCTGATTACGATAGATCTGCTCTTGTGCACTTATAGCAGCTGTAGGTGGTGGAAAGCCCACACACACACACACACACACACACACATACACATACACGCATACACACGCGAAACACAAGCAGCAACCTAAGAGCAGCGCCAATCATGAATCACATTATCCTAACATTGTAATCATGCTGTGATTGCAAGCATTTCGAGTTGAGAACAGTAAAAATGCATTTCAGAGAACAGATAATAGCCAGGAAACAGTATTTTTGCGGTGGAAAGCTGCTACCGGCAGCTGTATAAAAGCCACTAAATGATCCAGTTTTATGAAATGTGTTTTTATGTCTTTTCAGAGCCTGCTAATGCTCCTGCAAAACCTTCCCACAATACACTGGGGCAACGAAGAGGTGGGTTTGCTACTGGCGGAGGCCTACAGACTCAAATACATGTTCGCTGACGCTCCGAGCCACTACAAGAGATGAGAACCCGTAAGCGGACCGCGGCGCGACCCTGCGAAACCCAGACGATGATCCGACCTAACAACGGATCAGTCCAAACGGCTCTTTGCTCGGTTTAATCTGACACAGCAAAGATAGAGCTCAACAATTTTCTCCAATGACGTCAAATTTGTTACAATTCACGATCAAGAACGAGACGCCGGGTTAAACAACCACGGACAAAACGGATATTTTGTAAAAAACCTCCCAGATATCTTGATGGCTGACAGTTAAATTTGCCTGCAGATGACTTCAGAAGATAACTGACAGTGAGATGCCGAGGAACAGAAAGCGATTATCAAACTGAAAACAGAAGGACTTGGCATCCTAGGCTTCCTCGCATCTTCCTCTATTTGTTACCTCAGATGTGGAGCAACCACCTCTCGTTTTTATTTCTTGACATATCCTCTTTTTTTTTTTTTGTCCTCCCTCGCCGATGTTCTCGTGTTTTGTGTTATTAGACCATAATGTGATCTCCTTGGCCCTTTTGCTCATTGCCACATTGATTGTACCACACGCAGGTACACGGGTCGATTCCCATCCGTAATCACTCTGCGTTATTGAAGCTCTGCAATACATGAAACTATGGCAGTCGTATAGGGTCATTTCTCAAGAGGCGCGGCTGAGCGTTTCGAATTCGAAGAATCAATATGCAACCGCCTGAGCAATGTGTTTGGGTTTTTATGTTTTTTGAATCGCAAGGCTGTGAATTTTAACAATCCTTAAACAGTGGCTTTGTATGCGTATGAAGCACAATTATTTCTTAGAAAATTAGTACTTTTAGAGCTTTAGTATTAGCATTCGACTACTACTGAGGTAACGTTTCAGCACAGACGGCCGAATCAAACTGCGGTGAAATATTAATATGGCTTTATAAAGAATGAATCGGTGTGACGTGAGGTCAGCCTATGAGACCACAGGACTGGAGTCGTGTTGAAAGGAAACTACTGACTTGGAGGCAGACTGAAGGGTTTTGGTTTTCACTGTGTGGTACTGAAGCGTGGATGGGCGGTACATAAACAAATCCTAATCTTAAATACTGCTGGAGAACAGCAGATGGAATCTCAAAGCACTGTGAAAAGGCATCTACCATTCGCACGTCCATTCGATCTCCCAGGGCAACCAAATTATGCAGATGTTTATGCTAATCAGATGTAGATGATCTGATTATCTCCCTTTTCCCTTTGAACCCTCGTTTCACCTTTCGGTGTATTTATTAACTCCAGGCTGATACGTTTTGATTGGTGATTAATTGTTCATTTTCTGAATCTTTCCGAACTAGATGTGATCTTTATAAATCGGCGTGTAATGCGAAATGAATGACTCTGACTTATCAAAAGCAAATGTTTTCATTAAAATCTCTAATTATTTCGTATAACTCGGACCAAAACCCAGCATGGATAATCTGAATAATAAATTAAATAAGTGTCTTTCTGCTTTAATTATTGAAGCAAGTGGAGTGTATTGATTAGATGGAGTTGTCAGAATCGGTTAAAAGTGATGCCGTTGAACTTCAAGCTCAGCGCTGTGGAGTTTGCTGATGTTAAACGCTTTAATAATGTACATTTTGTCAGCTCGCTGTCCTTATTCATCCGTCAGTGACATTTGAAACCACCTGCGCCATACGGTCTCGCTGTTACAATCTATTTTTGATGAAGCGTTTGCGGTGCTGCACTCTTATTTTGAAGTGAACTGGAATGTTTTTTTTTTATTTCTGTGTTATGGCTTTGTCTTTGCATATATTAATGAGCTGATATTCACTCCAGAGATAATTAGTTTGATCGTCACCTTTTTAAAGTGCGCTAATGAAGGGGTGACTTATTGTCGAGGGTTGAGATGGCTGACCCAGGTGAGGAAATGGAGCAGTAATTATTCATGAGACGCATTGAGTAAACTTCCAGATTAGCTCCCGCTTTTAGTCTTTTGAATGTTGTAAATGTCTGAATTGATTGTATCTTGTTCAAGTCAACATGAAATCAAAATGGACACCATTTGCTTTATTAATACACATTGCTGGTCTTATTGTGTGCGGTTCGTCGGTGCACACAAAAATCTTCTGCCTCTTTCTCCTGATGTCAATTAGGCTATTGAATAATGTTAACCAGTAAGATGCTCTTGAGGGTGAACATCCATGTCTCCATGTCCGGCTCTCAAAATGTGGGTTTTGTGCAGACCTCTATCCCCCTTCCTCAATGCAAAAGTCAAAAGTGTAGCTTCCCTTAATCAGTTAATGCTGTGCCAAGTTGTTTGTTTCCTAACCGAAGGCTAATTGAAAGGGAAATATTTAATTGAACCATTTTTAGATTCAGTAATATAATGTGATATTTAAGAGTATTAAGAATAAATACACTACCGTTCAAAAGTTTGGGCTTGGGAAGACTTTTCTATGTTTTTGAAAGAAGTCTCTTGTGCTCACCAAGGCTGCATTTATTTGGTGATATTGTGAAATATTGTTAAAATTTAAAACAACTGTTTTCTATTTGAATATATTTTAAAATGTCATTTATTTCTGTGTTGCTATGCTGAATTTTCAGCATCATTACTCCAGTCTTCAGTCTCACATGATCCTTCAGAAATCATTCTAATATGCTGATTTGCTGCTCAATAAACAGTTCTTATGATTATCAGTGTTGAAGTCTAAAAGAACAACATTTATTTATTATAGATTTTTACTGTCACTTTTGATCAATTTAACGCATCGTTGCATAAAAGCATTCATTTGCTTCCAAAATTGGTTTTGAATGGTAGTGTACACTTAAAAAGCAATCATCTATCATTTCTATTAGAGCACCCATAAATCTGTCTCGGCCAATAGAATGGCTTTGAGAAAGGAGGATAGGATTCTACAGCAGTGTCGGATCTGATGGTGTTTCAGGAGAACAGGCCTTTACAATCCATTCATTCTCTCTCACTTTCCATCATCCAATTAATTCCTAATGGATAAAATATTAAAGTCCAACCATGCGTTTTGTTCTGGAATATTCCGTTCCACTTGGTTGCACATGCTGTTTCATGTTGACTTTAACTCTTCTGGGCATCGTTCATCATGAATGTTTTAAAAGTCTGGATTCCTCAAACACATCTGATTGTATTACATCTATTGCCTACATGTGCATTCATACCTTGTTTTTGCAAATACACATTAAACCACAGGTTTTTGATCTGCATATGGTACAATGAGTATTACCATATTGTGAATCTTACTCATGTTATTCATGAATTCATGTTATTTTGTTTTGTTTTTTTACTTTGTTCTGCCCTTTTGATTTTGAGCGAGTCAGCTGTGGTTGGTAGACTTGATGTTTTTTTTCTTTGTTTGTTTCCATTGCTTTTCTATTCTTTTTTTTTAAGAAAGAAAAGACAAAGTGAGCGCCCTGCCGGTACGGCCGCCATGTCTATTTATAGACATGTCCTCTACGTCTTAAGTTATTTGTCTCCTTCCAGTGACTTGTCCTGGGATTTTCTGCTTTCTTCCTTCTCTCCACTTTGGGCTCCCCGCTTGGCATTATTCCTCCCTTCATTTATCCATTTCATCCATCGGGCCTGTGTTTGAAAGATATGCTTGCTTGCTTTTTTGATTTATTCAAAATCTACTCTATAATTTTAGGATCAAATATTTGCCTTGGGTCAGCAAATAGAAATGGTGCTTCTCCCTGTATTAGTCATTCTACTTGTGGAGAGAGTAATTTTTTGCAGTTTTATGATAATGTAGATGTGAAAGAACAGTACTGTGGTTTATGTGGCTCATAGCGTCATGATTGTGTTCACAGTTTGCAATGCAACTGAGTCTCTGTAGCAGCTTCATGGCGCGTGCTAACACCAGATCTCTTTTGTGTTTTCCTCTCTGCATAAAATGCCAAAATCCTCGAGTCATTGGGTTCTTCTTGCTTAATCAGTGCTTTTGTAGTCCATGCTGCTTTTAGCCTTAAAGAAAAGAGGAAACGTGGGAGTTTTCTGCTGTGTATTTGATTTTTGGATTCTATTAAACTATTGGTACTCTGGATGATAGTGGTCCTGACAGAATTGTTGTTGCTAGGCCAGTTTTTCTCTGTGCAGCAATGAACTATTCTTTAAAGAGATATATATCAAGCAATTTATATTTTGTTTATTAATTTATTTGGTACGCAGGACAGGATAATGTAGAGTCAGTCGGTTATTTTTGCAAAATAAACTCCTTTAGGGTGATACTTGATCACCCTGATGGGCTTTTTGTGTGTGTATGATATTAACGAGCTGACTTATAACCTATCCTATGGCATGAATAAAAGTAAATAGCAATAAAAGTAAATAATTTTAAAAAAGGACCTGAAATATATTTATTTCAAAGCAAGGCTGTGAGGGATTGGAATACAGTGCATTCAATGGATTTAACATGCCGATTGGC